ATTATGGTAAGGGGCGTTTCATTTCCGACGTGTGCTTGTGGTGTTCGGCCAATCACAGTGCACTGGGTCAGCTGGCCAATCAGAGCAGACTGCGCTTGTCGGAAGGAGGGACTTTGTAGAAAACGAAGCTTTTGAGAGAGGCGGGGCATAGAGGACCTACAATAATGTACAGTATTTGAAAAATAATGTGTTTTTTGAACATTAAAGCATGTCAACATATTCTGTTACACAAAATAATGATCTTTAAAAAAGTATCATATGACCCCTTTAAGACTGGTTTTGTGCTCCAGGGACACAAATTATTATAGGGAGGCATAACGCTTTCATTGTATTGATTTTCACCATGCCATACCCTACTCTAAAACTGAGTATTTTCCACTATATTTGTAAGAAACATGAATTGAGTGTGGAAAAAGTATGTGAAAAATATAAGAAATGTACCACTAAGCAATAAAACAAGAATCTCTGGATAATGAGTCTCTCAAAATCATGACCTGTCAGCCAAAAAAGCTGGCGAATCAGCTCAGGACACACAGTCTGATGAATAATTATGACACATGACATGTCATCAATGTATAGCGCTTAGCTATGCCACATCCTGTAATGTTGAAACACTGTAGATTTTAAACCTGGAAGATAAAAATTGTGCAAAATAAAATCCAAAACTAACCTTTTTAAACGAATGCTAACAATGTTCTCTATGATGTGCTATAATGTTCTCTAAACTCTGGACTTTTGGTAGTAGCCTACCTAGGGTAGCAAAGTCCACTAAAGGAGGTAGAGCTTTTTTTGCATTTGGCTCCCAAACTCTGGAATAGCCTTCCTGATAACTTTAATCTAGATTAAAGACACATATCTTTAGCCAAGCATTCACATAATGTATCTCATAACCATGTACTTCAGTTATATCTGATCAAATGCATATTATCATTCTTTGCTTGGTTTGAACACATTATTTTTTGCTTGGTTGAAAGATCTCATTTTTCTCTATTTCCTTCTCTGTTTCTGCGACGGGATTGGCATCCCGACCGAGGTAACTAGGAATTACACAAGCTTTGGTCTGGATCCAACCCTTACAAAGATCTGAGAAGACCAAACACAACAGAAGAGATTATGCCAACCCCCCAGAGGACTTAAGATGATGCCAACCCTGAACCAGCTTACAAAACTACCACATTTTGGTAGTCTGATCGCAACATATAAAAACTACTGTTAATAGTGTTCACCGTCTGTTTGATTACATGTCATTAACGAACTGCATGAATTTTACTGTACATTTCTGCCATATATACATCACCTTCACATAGTCACCACTGATAAGTTACTCCTATATATAATGTAGAAACTTTCATTTTCTGTGAAGCTGCTTTGCAACGACTTGTATCGTGAAAAGTGCTACATTGTGGAATATACCTGTTAGGTGATTTCCTCAGTTACTCCACAATGTAGAAAACATTAAACAAATGCAAAACAGCTAATATGAACCAGAAAATGGGCAAACCACAGAGATTTGGTCAGTTAGAGGCCTAAAGATGAATCAGAATTTTGAGCTTTTTGGTTCCAGGTAGTTGATTTATAACATCTTCCTGATCTTTATTTTTTTTAAAACACCAATATATTATCTTAGGTCCACGTTTTTCACCATTTTTAATCTACTTTACCTTCACTAAATGATTCTGCAGAAATTAATGTTTAAAAATACAAATTTATATTACATGTAGTCTCTTATTTACTATGAGCCAGCAAATGCTGCATGCATAGTAATTCTAAAACAGAACTAGTAAAATGCTGTTTAAAATAGCTTTAGATTAAATATACCATCACACATGACATTTCAACATCCCAAAAGGTTTTCATTAGTAACAATGAGCATGCATTCTTGAACAAATTCATTCTTGAACAAATTCATGTAATCACGAAGATGTTGCATCCAGATTCATGCAGGGCAAGAAGTTTCAAGTTTGACTAACCTCAAACACTGGTCAGTGCTCCGCATGACATATTTAGCAGAAAGCTTGCATCAGATTGTGTAAAGTGATGGCCTGGCCATACCAGCTTCCTCACTGAAATCAATCAAACTAATTTGAGAACAGAGAACGTAAAAAGAGGAAGAGCAGACAGCCCATGGAAGAGTAAGTTTCTACAGAAACAGCTAGACTTAATACCCATAAACTGTCAAATTGTAACATTAAATGCTTTTTTATTTTATTTTACATGCACTTATGGTCAAAAGTTTGAAATTATTAAGAGTCCATATGCTTACCAAGGCTGCATTTATTTTCATCAAAAATAGAGTCAACATTTTGTAAAATATTATTACTAAATATTAAACATGTTTTCTGTTTTAATATATTTTGAAATGTAATTTTTTTCCTGTGAATGCAAATAAAACTATTAATTTATTATTATTTTTATCTTACCCCAAACTTTTAAATGGTACTGCGTCACAAAATTGTTTCCACTAAAATATTACACAGCACAACTATTTTCAACATTGATAGTAATCAGAAATGTTTCTTGAGCAGTAAATCAGCATATTAGTATGATTTCTGAAGGATCATGTGACACTGAAGACTGGAGTAATGATGCTGAAAATTCAGCTTTGCATCACAGGAATAAATTACATTTTAAGATACCAAAATAGAAAACAGTTCTTTTAATATTTCACAATACTACTTTTTCACTGCCTTTTTCAAATAAATGCAGTTGAGCATTAGAGACGTCTTTAAAAACATAAAAAAATCCATACTTTTTTGTTCCAAACTTTACAGTACTGAATACGTTTTTTAAATAGCCATTTAAATATTTTAGAGCTAAAAAAAAAATTGCTTCAGATTTTTTTATGACTTTCTATGAGTTCTTATTAAAATGTGTTGCGTTTTGATGAAAAGTTGAAAATGAATATGATGACATTCAGATAATAATCTTCACATTATACAGTACACATCAATATTTGACATCAATTAATAAATGTGATCCTGGAGCACAAAACCAGTCTTAAGTCGCTGGGGTATATTTGTAGCAATACCTAACAATACATTGTATGGGTCAAAATTATCCATTTTTCTTTTATGCCAAAAATCATTAGGTTATTAAGTAAAGATCATGTCCCATGAATATATTTTGTAAATTTTCTACCGTAAATATATCAAAACTTCATTTTTGATTAGTAATATGCATTGCTAAGAACTTCATTTGGACAACTTTAAAGGTGATTTCCTCAGTATTTTGATTTTTTTGCACCCTCAGATTTCAGATTTTCAAATAGTTGTATCTCAGCCAAATATTGTCCTATCCTAACAAACCATACATCAATGGAAAGCTTATTTATTCAGCTTTCAGAAGCTTTTTTTTAACCCTTATGACTGGTTTTGTGGTCCAGGGTCACTAATACTAATATCATGCCATCTGCAATGCAGATGTGAGTTACGTGAAAGGGCCAGTAATGAGCTGTCCTGCATCTGGCCACACAGAGATTCCCTGCCTCTTCACAACCCTTGACCCTATAAAGTTATCTGTGGGAGGCAGGGGGTTCCTCAAGGCTTTAAACTCATCCTGCCACAAGCGTTTGAGCAGACAGGACACAGGAAGTGGAAGTCTTCTCTACTTCCTGCTGTATTTCAGTGGTGCTCAACAAAAATATGAGTATCACATGCTATTTCCTACAGCACGCCCGAAACAAAACAAAAACAGACCTAGGGACTAATTTGTCAAACATTTGTCAGCATTTCCCCAAAGAACAAAAATATTTGAAACGGTCCAGTTTGGCTGTATTTTTCCCTTTTCCCAGTTCCTTATTTGGTGGGGCAGTGTGTTACATTTCAAGTACAGGCCTGACCATTTAAGAGTGCTGATATCTTAAAACATCCCCTATCGGCCTGGACCTATATATGCGTTTTGAAGTAGGAAGGAGGGAGGTGCCTTTGGGATGACATTCCTAACAAGCCAAGCCATGTCCTGACTCCACCTACTCCTCCTCTCTCCTCAAAATGGAGTCCATTAATATAGAACAAGAGAAGAATTCCCTACCCCCTCACAACCCACTCACTCGCAAAAATAGAGTGCTTTTCAACTTCATTCAAAACAAAGCCTCAAGAGGCAGTTGTTTATGTCAACGATAGTCACAAGCTAAGCTTCTGTTTGTAGGCAAATATTTATGCATCAAATTTGTACGGAAATGTTTGTTGACAAACCGGAATGCCAATGCGGTAAAAAAAAAAAAAAAAAAGGAATGACACAAAGAAGTGTTAATATAAGAAATATTTCAATTATTTATAGTGATATTATTCTTCATTACAATTAAAGTTTTTCATTATCATAATGCAAAAAAATAATTCTTATTCTTATTTTTGTAAATACAGTGTTGAACTTAAAAAAAAAAAAATCAGCATCAATTAAATTCAGCACATCATACACAACTGTGATGTATATTTAAAATGGTATTTAAGATATTATTTTATTTATTAATTTATAAATTAATTTTTTGCATTACAGTAGACTACTGAGAATTTAGAAGGTTTGATGCTTATTACAAAGAAAATAATCTTTAAAATATCTGAACTGTCTTAAAAACAGGCTACATTTTCTTCATGCAATTGCTTATATAATTTATGTATAACCAAGGCATTTCTTGATTGTTTGCATGAAATTCACATGAAGAAATTAAGTGTTCAAGGGTTAGTTCAAACAATTTTATTTTATTTTGTCATCATTTACTAACCATCATCTATCCAAATTCATAAGACTTTCGGAAATATTTGGATTTTTTAAATATTTATCATTTTTGTCTGTCCGTTGAAAGTCTAAATAATCAACATTTTCAAATTTTAAAAAGTATATAAAGGCTTTGGTGAACATTAAAGATGTCTTCATTTTTGTTCAAAGACGAGCAAAAAACTAGCGGATTTGTAATTGTTTTTTTGTTGAACTAAACTTTGAATGTAGTTTATACACTAAAACAACTCCCTTAGATTTGAATCAGCGGTGGCTTCAATCAAACTTCACACCAACTGCTATCATCACAATCTTAAAACCAACAGAGATCCCCTTTGAAAACATCCATTGAAGCTATAAAAACAGTCCAGGGCATAATTTACAGCAGGGTTCCTCTTATCTGTAGCATTGTATTCAGCCCAGTCTTGACCCCTCCCTTATACTTTTCCGCCATCATTAACTCCTCCTTCCCATAATGCACAGCTATTCTCCCAGCCTGAGCAGAGAGTACCAGTCTACAACCTCCCCGATACGAGTCCACAGCGAAATGCCACTGTCCTTCGTCATGCTCTAATACTTAATAAGGAGCCTGCTGTGCAGCATTTCTCAAGACATGCCAAAAGAATTCAAACAAACACTAAAACCAACAAAAATTAGCCACTCTCTCATCAGTAAACAGAAATCTTGACCTGCCAAAAATAGCTAGTGGATTAACAGCAAAGGAGTTGACAGACGCTATAGTGTAGCCATGGGAATGCCACTTAATGACTAACTCGACCAAAACCAATTAGGTTAGACATTGCTTAGAGTGACGGTAAACCAATGCTAGACTTATGAGAAACATTGCAAGCACTTCCCACCAGGAATGCCTAAGCGTCTACATCTGAGAAACAAGTCCTCACCAACCCCAGCTTTCACTTCTGTTTACTACCAAGATGAAACTACTGTAATTTCCCTGGCTGGCAGTGGCGTCCTTCAAAAAGCACGGAAAGGGGAAACTTTCTAGTGAAGCAGAACACCAAAATAAACAGTGATGTGGACTGGATGATGCGTTTTTATAAAATTAGGGCAAAACTAATTAGGCTGGTGCAGTAGAAGATGGAAAGGGGACAGCGGACAGAGGCCTAGGGGGAGCGACAGCAACGAGGTCAAACAATCCCTACCCACTTCAGTGCAACGCTCCATTTACACTCTGCGGGCGTGTGGAAAGGTCTGAAGGTGTAAAATTTGCCTTTAGTCAAAAGAGGTGGGAACCTCTGTGCAGATGGGATGTTATGGGATGGCGGTCAGGGAAATGGGGCGACTTAAACAGGCAGGATGAAGTACAGGCGATGATGATGCAATCAGAAACTTGCACTCACTCTGTTTCTCTAACCCAGTTCTACATTTGTCAAAGTGCTTCGAGTGACACAGTGTTGCGTAATTGCTGGAGACAATTTTGGACAAAAACCAATGCTTCAAGGAAACCCATTTGGTGTCACTAAATAAAGATCATCAATTCTTTGTCAGGTGTCACTGATAAGCTGGGTCTGCTTATTAAACTCCTCCAAATGATCTACAAAATACACTGAAGCCAAACAACAGGCTTTGTAGCATAAATTCTTAAAACAAGCAGCTAGCACTTCTCATTAGCAATAGACTATTAAGACTGTCTGAGAAGGTAAACAAAGCCAAAGCACCTTTCCAAAGCAGCCCTAGACTTAAAAAAAAAAAAAAAAACACTATAGTAATATTAATGTCAAAAGCTGTTGGTTATACCTCACCTATGCGTAATTAAACAAGCAACTAAACAAATCCCCCAAATGAAAAAATTATAATTAATTTAGCTAATGCTGCAGCAAAAGGATAGATAGATAGATATATAGATAGACAGATAGATAGATAGATAGATAACAGTTCAGTATTGAGTTTAGACGGATACAATGATTACGGTTAACGGTGATACAGCTGTTGTTGTTGTTGTTGTTGCTATGATTCTGCTCAACTTTGAGTTTAAGCGGATGTTCACATTAAACGTGGCAATTAATCGAATTAAATGGTGACAACTGACAACTTCGAAAAATTAGGTCATAAATATGTTTAACAATGTGCCAGATAGTCTTTTGATGCATTTATCCTCTTCCAGGTTGGTCATAAATCACGTTAATTTACGCACATGTATTCAGCTGAGAAGATCTTGGATAGAACTGCATCGGATATATTTCTGGGAACAGAAGAATGAAACATAAACCATAAAAGTCTATCCTCCGAACTTACCCAAAGCTCAGTGCCCCAGTCCATGTTCAGCTCTCCTAGCACTCCACTCTATTAGGCTGAAAAGTTATCCCAATTTACAAGATTAACAGATGTTCAAAATAGGATCAAGGAAAGCGAGTCATTTCTTTTCCCACATTCACGCGCAACGCTGAACAAATCGCGACGGATCTCCAGCGCCAGCTACTTTGCGGTGGCACAAATACTTTTCGTCTCAAAGCGAGAGAAGGATCAACTGGATTTCATTGCCGCGTCACTCCCAGATCCCTAATTCTTAAAGGAGCCGCCGGATCCAGTTTCCAGCTTTCAGATCTGCCTGTTTGCAGGAGTGAGAGAGAACTTCAACAACAGAGAGGAAGGACATGACCTTTATTAAATTATTAACACCACACGGTAACAATCATTAACAATGCTTCTAAAAACATAGGTCCTGAAAACAGTTTGTTCATTGATTAACATGCATTTTGTTAATAAGGAAAAAACAAAGCATTCTGCTGTTTTATACATAAGATATCACACAAGGGTCAGTGAGATAACGTGTTTGAATCTATTTTCAAAAATACATAAAAATACATCATATTTGACTTGTGAATAGCTCTTTTTTTGTGAGGTCTCTTTTTTGTGGGTCTTTAAACAAAAGGTCTAAGTGCTGTCCAGTTGAATTATTTCTAATAAGTTTCCTATTTTTTCTTTTTTCTTTTTTGTGGGGCTTAAAAAAGACTGGGAAAAAAACGGTTGAAAAAATTTAAGCATAAGTAGCTTGGTATAATCTTTCATTATTTTGTTTTAAAATAGGCCTATTTTATTTCAAAAACTTCTGTGCAGCACTTTATTGCATCATTATTAGCCTATAAAATTTAAAAACAGGCACTTTACTTATAGAACATCTCCCAATACAGACTAAAGGGGGAAAATGCATAAAAAGTGTCGTCAAACCTGTATTATAGAAAACAGATTTCTGGCCTGGAGATTGTCCATCATCATCATCATCATCAAAAAAAAAAAAAAAAGCATTAAATGTGTAAAAATCTAACAAAAGTAAAATGCAATTTAACACAAACATTTTTCTTTTCACATATTTAACTAAATGTGCTAATCTCTCAAGACACACTGTATGTAACACTTTTATACAGCAAATAACCATAACCAACATACAGAAAAACATTTTGTTGTCATGTGACAAGATAACTTAATACTTTTGAAACATTTCTTTATTACTCATCTCAAACATTCTTCCTTGTCACTGAAATATCATCCATATCATATAGGCCTAGTCACACAAGTGCTTTGCATGCTGTACAGTATTAGCTTTCACACGTTACACCACAGACATTTATAGAATGTATTTATTTATTGTAACCTCAATGATGTTCAGTATATTGTCTTTTTTCAATGTAAGCATATTTCAACTTATTAAAACAAGATCAAACTCACTTAGGGCCCCCATTGCTTAACGGCTGCATTTCTGACTGTATTTCATAATGTCCTCTTGATTTTCTCCTTCTCCACATTAAGACCACTAAAAGGATGATTACAACAAACAGTACAAATACTCCTAAAAGAATTAGAATGTAGTACGGAAAGACATCTAAAAAGGGGGAAAAAAATGTCAGTAATGTATCACGTAATTAAAAAAATGTATCATTCAAAGTCATATCATACTGTTTTCACACTCACAGCCCAAACCCTTTATCTCCACTATAAAGGTCTTGTCACTGCGTCCAAATTTATTCGTGGCACTGCATGTATAAACTCCAGCACTGGTAGACGTGGCTCTCTCAATGTTTATGTGGCGCCTCCCAGTGGAGATGTTCCTATTGTTGAAGCTCCACCACACCTCAGGTTCTGGGTTACCAGTCGAGTAGCACTCTAGCGTTATATTGCTGTCTTCTCCCACAACAAATTTCTCTTGGCTGTCATAAAACACTGGGGCATCTGTGTTAAAGTAGAAGTTGTCTTTGTTAATTCATTGGCAAAGGTTGTTAAAGAAATATACATTGTAGACCATTTTTCTCTTACATAGGATGTTGATGGTGAATGTAGAATTACTAGTTCCACGTTGGTTATGTGCAGTTAATTGATACCAGCCACTATCATTCCAATTGGGATAAAAGTCATGCTGGATCATTTTTCCATTTTTGTAGAGGAAACATTCAGGCTTTGGTAATCCATCGGCTATGCAAGGAAGTTTGAAGAGTGTTTTTTCTTTTACTTCATAGCTCTTGTCGCAGTTCAGTTCTGGAGGATCTATTTTTGGGGAAAACAATCAACTTAAAGACACAACCAGAGACACAAAACATCAGGTTTTAATGCAGAAGTTCCTAAAGAAGTATCACACTTACACTCAACTGTTATGTTCATGGAGCAGCTGACATTACTAAGGTCATTCCTGGCAATGATTTCATATAGGCCAGAATCATATCTGGTAAGAGGCATAGAGGAACTGACTGGTGATGATTTGTGTCTCCAGGAGATGTCTGGACGAGGTTTACCCTCGACAGAATGTAAATTTGAAGGATATGAATCCAATGAGGTCTCTGTCAATGGTGACCAGTCGCTACAAAATTGAATTTGTGGAGCAACTGGAAAAGAAGAACAGAGAAAGATACTTATTTGCTTGCATTTTGAGAGAACGTCTTGCTTCTTCACATGTGTGGAGACATTCAACAATATTTTGTTCACTAACAATATACAGTAATGCCGAGAGGATTTGATGAAATTGTAGGATGAGGTTGAGGTCCTTCTGCTCCCAGATCCAGCTCTGCTTCACACCTGTATTGAGCTCCATCATCAGCTCTGTCTGGACGGATCAGGAGTGTGGCTGTTTTATTCACTGGAGTCTCGCTAGCTTCAGTGAAGGTGGTTTGATTCAGCAGAGTCTGTCCTTTGTACCAGTTGACAGTGAGATTCTGAACAGGAGCCACATTGTGAACGTCACACTGGAGCTCATACAGCTCTCCCTCCATCATTGGTCCGCTGTGATTCACACTGATGAACACACTGTCTGGAGTCTCTGTGGAGGAAGATTTACACACTCTGAAATCTGCTGTGATGAATGATGAATGTACATTTATTGGATATTTCTGAGAATGAACAGAAAAAAATATCAGTAACAGAGAAACTGACTGTAAACAGTGACTGGGAGCTCTTCTTTACACTGATCCTTATCGCCTATTTTATAGTTTATGTAGCAGAATGGCTTTATGTCCCATTCTGTCAGTTCTGACACTCTCCATGTGATCAGACTCTGGTTTTTGGTCATGGGCACTCCTCCCTCACTGGCTTCCCATCCCATCCCTTTATGCAGGACTGAA